CACTTGGGGTGAGCATAGGTAGTCCCACAGAGAAGGACAGGGGGTGCGTACTAATAACGCGCAGCACCTGTCCTTCCCAGGAGCTGCTCGCTACTGCCATGCACGCAGCACAGAGCTGTATGTGCGGGCCGATTCCAGTGTGAATGGGTATCAAAAGTGGAGTTTTTAACATTTGCCTGGAGTTCTGCTTTAACAGCAAAAAGAAGTTACCCTCCTCTTCGCAAAGAAGACCGATGCACTCCTACCCCAGGGTGCAATAGAACTCCAATGTCTGCACAGCGTGCAAGATTCGTCTTCAGCAACAAGGAGAGAGAGGAAGGGAGGAGGAGAAGAAAAAAAAAGTTTTAAAACGCCGTCTCACCAGACAAAAGGCTGCAGAGCTGCACCGCACAGCTAAAATAAAACTCCCGACTCGGCACCTTCTATTGATTAAAAACTAACCTTTAAAGTAACTCCGAGAGTATGCGCTTAGCATTTAAATTTAAACATGTCATGAAGCTGATTGGTGTTGCTGAATCGCAGCTCACATCCTCTTCCTTAAGCAGCTAAAGTATTTCAGAAGCATGTTTTTTTAGGGGGGGGGGAAGGGAAAAGGGGAGGGGGGGACTCCTCGACTTCTCTTGGAATCTTGTACTTTGTTTTCCCATGCAAATAGACCCCCTGTTAAAAGTCCGCAAAGCGAAACCGAATAATTGGCCCTTTGTCTAACTTTTCCAAAAGTGCCAGGGGAAGACAGATTAATTAAACACACAAGTGTGGGGTCCCACTGGTTTGCCGGCAGGAGGTGGGGTGGGGGGGTCATAATTTAAGCCAAAAAAAAAAGCAAAAACGGACGTAGTGCAGCAGAACTGAAAGCTGCAGGTTGTTTACACACAGAAAGTCCATTCATGTGTCGGAGGGGCGAGGAGCCGGCTTGCTAGGACTTCTGGAAGAGGATTCAGGAGAATAATGGAAGAGCCCAAAATTCATTGGAACTTTTTTTTAACGTTTTAAGCTTTAAAAAAAAAAACACCTACCCTTGCCACGTAGCTACCTCCACACTGCAAGGGTTAACTGCCCGTTAATGTCTAGGGGACCTAAGGACTTACCTGATCCCCCGCTGCCACTGGCATTATAAATGAGGATGCCGAGGGAAATTCCAGAAGCCAGAGCGGAATAAGGGGAATGAGGGGGAAAAGGTGAGTGCCCATAGTCCTGCATTATAAATGAGGATACCGAGGGACATTTCACGAACTGGAGGGGGAAAAGGTGAGTGCCCCTAGCCCTACATTATAAATGAGGATGCCGAGGGACATTTCACGAACCGGAGGGGGAAAAGGTGAGTGCCCATAGCCCTGCATTATAAATGAGGATACCGAGGGTCATTTCACGAACCGGAGGGGGAAAAGGTGAGCGCCCATAGCCCTACATTATAAATGAGGATGCCGAGGGTCATTTCACGAACCGGAGGGGGAAAAGGTGAGCGCCCATAGCCCTACATTATAAATGAGGATGCCGAGGGTCATTTCACGAACCGGAGGGGGAAAAGGTGAGCGCCCATAGCCCTACATTATAAATGAGGATGCCGAGGGTCATTTCACGAACCGGAGGGGGAAAAGGTGAGCGCCCATAGCCCTACATTATAAATGAGGATGCCGAGGGTCATTTCACGAACCGGAGGGGGAAAAGGTGAGCGCCCATAGCCCTACATTATAAATGAGGATGCCGAGGGTCATTTCACGAACCGGAGGGGGAAAAGGTGAGCGCCCATAGCCCTACATTATAAATGAGGATGCCGATGGACATTCCACGAGCCAGAGGGGGAAAAGGTGAGCGCCCACCACCAGCGGGTGAGTAAAAGTCCTCTTCACCATACCCCTAGACATAAATGGGCCGTTAGCCATTGCAGTGCTGGGGGAAGCACCACCTCGAGGAGTAAAACATTTTTTTTACCTGTAGATAGGCTTTATGGGTCTGTTCACATGCAACAAAACGCATGCATTTTGCTGCATGAAAATGCATTTCAAGCAGAAATCCCCATTATGTGCTGCAGTTTAGTGTGTTCTAAAAAAAAACGATTATGTGTCTTGCACACACGTGGAACGGAGTGAATCCGGCCTTAAAGCGGAACGTAACCCTGACGGATCTCTGATTGCAGAAGAGATGGACAATGTCTGTTCTGCCGCAAAGGCTTCTGACCTCCCCCCTCGCATGATGCATTAGTATGTACACTCAGCTTCGCATTCCCTGTACACCTTTGTGCTGGGAGAAGGAAATCCCATGCGTATGTGCAGGAGGTTATGTCACCCCGGCCCGCTCATGATGACCAAAGTTCCCTAGACCCAGAAGAAGGCAGGGAGATGATGTCAGCAGCACTGAGGGGGCTTGTGGGTGCCACATGGCTGGAGGTTGGTGAATATTGGAGAGTTTAGCTTAAAGAACTCCATAACGCATTCAGAATTGCATGCGGCTAATCCCCTTGCAGGACTGCGTTGGCCACAGTAGTTCACAAGCCGCTTCACGGGTTTGCATGGACGGTGTAAAGTTCTATAGAATCTGTGCCGTCACGCAATATGAGGTCATAGAGTTTAGTTGGTCTGGACGTATATCGGGTTAGGTCTTGTGTCGAAGAGATCAGTTTGAGACGCTTCTGAGGTCATTTAGAATTTTCTGACAGGTGCATTTGACCTTCCGGTGACCTCCTGACCTGGCTGAGGCTCGTTTTTGCATTCCTATAGACTTACATTGGAGTGCAGAACCCATTTGAATCCATTATAAGCCTGTGGGCACAGCTCCGGGAAGAGGGTTTGCTTTGGTCAGTGGGGCGGCCCCCCACACTGAAAGGGTTAAGTGCTTGTTTTTATCTAGGTTCAAAAACAAAAAAAAGTTGTACTCATCTGATCCTCGGAGCCGGTGTTCTATCGAAAGTTCCAACTTGTCGACTTCTCCAACTGGTGACATCACATCCGCTGACTGCCAGGAGATCTACAGCAGATGGTGCTAGTGCGCATGCCCAGGAAATTCTTCTCGAACTGTCTAACTATTGCCACTGCGCCTGCGCGGCTGTCCACTTCTATAAGCTACTACAGTTATACTTGTCCTAGGTCATAGAAGCCGATGAGCCGCACAGGCGCAGTGGCTATTGCCTCATCGGATTCTATAACCTAGTCAAAGGTTATATTATGTTACAGCGCCTGCGTGGCCACATGATTCCACAACCACAGTTTCCGCTGTGCCTGCGCAGCTATCGGCTTCCATAACCTAGGACAAATATAACTGTAGTAGGTTATAGAATCCGATGAGCCGCGCAGGCGCAGTGGCAATAGTTAGACAGTCGACAAGGATTTTCTGCCCATGCGCACTAGCTCCATCTGGTGTAGATCTCCTACTGGCAGGCACCGACTGTGACATCACCAGTCGGAGAGCTCGACAAGTCGGAGTTTTCGATAGAACACTTGCTCTTAGATCGGTCTCTTCCGCCTTTCTCCCCCCTCCGCTGCAGAGGTTTAAGGTGCCCGAGTCATTACTTTCCACACACAGTGTATTGGATGTGAGGACGCCGAGGGATGTACCATCGCTGCAGCTGAGAAGGAGACAGGCAGGAAGGAGCGCTGTCACAGCCAGATGGCTCCGAGGATCAGGCGAGTATGACTGTTATTTTTTGAACCTAGACAAACGTGAGCTACCCCTGCACCTAACCCTTGCAGCGCTGGGGTAGTCCCAATGCATGGGTTAAACGTTTTATCTGGAGTTGTCCTTTAGGCCCCATTCACATGAGAAAAGGCCGGCACGTACAGCTCTGTGCTGCGTGCACGGCCGTATCGGGCAGCTCTCGGGAAGGACAGGTGCTGGGTGTGATTAATACGCAGCCCCCGTCCTTCTCTATGGGAGTACGCGGCCGTACGCTCACCCTAAGTGCAGGTGGGTGCGGGTGTTCCGGCGCGGATGCAGACAGGATCCATCTTCTCAGTGTACGAGTATGGACACCCGCACGGACGTGCAGGGCTGTTGAGTGTAGGGCGGCATACTCCGATAGAGAAGGACAGGGGCTGCGTACTAATCACACACAGCACCTGTCCTTCCCGGGAGCTGCCCGATACGACCGTGCACGCAGCACAGAGCTGTACATGCCGGCCGTTTCTTGTGTGAATGAGGCCTTAATGTAACGTTAAAATTAATTTATTATTTTCAAATCTGCATTACCTGGTGATCCTGCCATTAAAGGTCCTTGTTTAGGCACTTCCTGTTATGCAGTGACAACACTCTGTCCCGGTCTCCAAATGTTCCTGCATTGTCACCCTTGGACGAGCTGTCTCAGTGATGACTACAAGCGGCCGCATCCTACAGGTGAAACTCGAATAATTAGAATATCGTGCAAAGTTCATTTATTTCACTAATGCAACTTAAAAGGTGAAACTAATATATGAGAGAGACTCATTACATGCAAAGCAAGATAATTCAAGCCGTGATTTGTCATCATTGTGATGATTATGGCTTACAGCTCATGAAAACCCCGAGAACCCCAAATCCACAACCTCAAAAAAGTAGATTATTACATGCAATCAATAAAACAAGGATTGTACATAGAACAATATCGGACCTCTGAAAAGTACAAGCATGCATATGTACTCAGTACTTGGTTTGGGCCCCTTTTGCAGCACTTACTGCAATTACTTTTGCACGATATTCTAATTATTCGAGTTTCACCTGTATACGCAAGCATTGGCCACTGTTGTCATCATCCGGTAACCTGCCCAGAGAAATGCCACGAACACTTTTTATTTTATTTTTTAATTAATAATTATTTATTTATTATTATTTATTTTATTTGATGGTACACAGTGCTTTAGCAAAGTTTAGGTTTATGTAATGGAAGGACACAAGAAAGGAATGTACAATTGGCAGTTGAAGCTGAAATAATATATAATAATAAAAGTAAAATATAATAAATAACAATAAAAATGATTAAAAAATTCAAACAGTTGTGAAAAATAAAATTGTATCCCTTCTTGTCGTTGCAGTCCTGGTACCTGGGATAAAAAGGTCGCAGTTTTCTATCGCCCACCCGACAGACCACCTACCCCCCTTCTCATCTCTGTAACTTTTGAAGAAACCAACGTCAACTTGGCCTAGGTCACTCGGCGCCAGAGGAAGGGGAAAAAAAAACTGACCGTAACAGCAGAACAGCATCGAAGGAGAAGAACGATCACACGCGGTCGCGCGGCAGACACCATCACTCATCTGCCTTTTCTCTTTTACTTTAATTTTTTTTTTTCTCCTCACCTTTTGGGGGTCTCAAGAAAAGTCCCCATTGGGGGGGGGGAAAGTTGGGATTCACAGCATTTGAAGTGTTTTTCATTGGTAGCATAAATATTTAGGTGGTTCCAGGTAGCCTTAGGCCGAGTTATTATTATTTTTTTGACTTGCTATAAAAACACTCTCATTGCGAAGCCCGGCCTTTTTTTTTTGCAAAGCCACTCCTTCTCTATACAGATGCGACCCTTTTCCAGGAGTTCCGGTGGAACAGTCCCTATAAATGAAAAAAAATAAATAATAATAACGTAAAGCACTCTATTATACAAAATGTACAATTATTAGTGACTATGAACTTGTGCTAGTACTACGACCACACTACAGTGACGCCAGAGACCGTCGGGAAATCAGCGCAGTTGTGGTCTAGCGCCTCCACTGGTTTTTTTTTCCCCATTTCGAGTGCTACAACTTACAAGGATTTGTGAGAAGAAGAAGAAAAATCACGCGACGTGTGTGAAAATTAAGGAAAAAACTGCACCTTTTTATTCATTTTTTTTGTTTTTAATCGTTTGGCCCAGTGCGGAGGTGGCGGAAAATGACTGGACGCGACTGCGACAAACTGTTTTGCGTTAACATATCACAAAAATGTCCACCCTTCCTTCTGACGAGGATCAGTCACATCCATCAAGCCCCACCAGGAAACTGTTAACATTTAATTTTTTTTTTCATCCGAGTTGCAGAGCAATGAAAAAAAAAAAAACAGTCCAGGACTATTATTATTACTCATATAAGGAAAAAAAAATATGCTGCACTTGCAAATAAGCTTTTTTCTGAGACAAATTTTCAACAATTTACGCAGAAACGGGGAAGATGGTCTGTAT